CCCCTAGTTCCAGTGAAGGGAACTCTTAAGGTAACATTTTGGACAATTTCATGCTCCCAACTTTGTGGGAAGAGTTTGGGGATGGCCCCTTCCTGTCCCAACATGACTGCCCACCAGTGCACAAAGCAAGGTCCATAAAGACATGGAGGAGCCAGTTTGGGGTGGAGGAACTTGACTGTCCTGCACAGAGTCCTGACCTCAACCCCATAGAACACCTTTGGGATGAATTAGAGTGGAGACTGTGAGCCAGGCCTCTCCCCCGACATCAGTGCCTGACCTGACAAATGTGCTTCTGGAAGAATGGTCCAACTCCAGCTTCTGGAAGAATGAATTCTGGAAGAATGGTCCATAGACACCCTCCTAAACCTTGTGGACGGCCTTCCCAGAAGAGTTGAAGCTGTTATAGCTGCAAAGGGCGGGGCCAACTCAATATTGAACCCTACGGACTAAGACTGGGGGGGCCATTAACCATTAGCCGCCTGGCCTATAGCCGTTTGGCTGCCGCAAAAATGCTGTAGCTTTCCGGGGTGTACGCCATTTGGCGTGCTCCCGCACATGCGCGATCTATCACTGGCCTGTACCTCGGACATGGCCGATGACAAATCTGAGTACCAGCCCCCGTTGCCGGTACCATGTGACCTGCTGTGACCAATCACAGCAGGTCACATGAGAGTTGTATACAATGGAGGGCTTCATTCATGCCATCCATTGTATACTAGTGCCTAGCTGTGAATGGTCACAGCAGGTCACATGCACATGTCATGTGATTAGCTGTGGCCAAATCACAGCTAAGCACAAAAAAAAAAAAAAACCTGAATGAATCGATGTCATTCTGGTAAATGCTTGCTTATAGCAAAGTAATTCTTTGCTATAAGCAAATTGTGTAAAAAAACAAAATACTGATCACTTCCCCAAAGTAGTACAATGTTACTATGGTAACATTGTACTACTTTGGTCATAGTAAAATATGAAAAACAAATCTTAAAAAAAAAAAAAAAAAGTAATAAAAAATTAAAAATAATAAAAAAATATATATATTTTTTTTTTCATACTGTCACCAGTCAGTGTCCCTGTTCACCGCCATGTCAGTTATATGATGACGCTGTACTGCACTGGTGACAGTATGTAAAAAAAAAAAATAGTGAAAATAATTTTTTCATTTTCCGAAAAATTATGACAGAAAAAATACAACTTCAAAAAACTCACCATGCCTCTTATGAAGTACGTCGGACTGTCTACTCTGCAAAAAGGGGTCATTTGGGGGATATCTGTACTGTTCTGACATTTGGGGGATATATCTGTACTGTTCTGACATTCGGGGGATATCTGTACTGTTCTGACATTCGGGGGATATCTGTACTGTTCTGACATTCGGGGGGGGGATATCTGTACTGACTGACATTCGGGGGATATCTGTACTGTCCTGACATTTGGGGGATATCTGTACTGTCCTGACATTTGGGGGATATCTGTACTGTCCTGACATTTGGGGGATATCTGTACTGTCCTGACATTGGGGGGATATCTGTACCGTTTCTGACATTTGGGGGATATCTGTACCGTCCTGACATTTGGGGGATATCTGTACTGTTCTGACATTTGGGGGATATCTGTACCGTCCTGACATTTGGGGATATCTGTACTGTTCTGACATTTGGGGGATATCTGTACCGTCCTGACATTTGGGGGATATCTGTACTGTTCTGACATTTGGGGATATCTGTACTGTCTGACATTTGGGGGATATCTGTACTGTCCTGACATTTGGGGGATATCTGTACTATTCTGACATTCTTGGACCTCAAGAAATTAGATTGGCTGTCAGTACTTCAGGATTGATCAATATTCAGATCTATACCATAGTTTGTGAACTCTATAACTTTCCTACAAACTAAATAATACATCCTAATTTGGGTTATTTTTACCAAAGACATGTAGCAGAATACATCTCGGCCTAAATTTATGAAGAACAATTATTTATTTGTAAACTTTTATAACAGAAACAAAGAAAAACGTGTTTTTTTCAAAATTTTCGGTCTTTTTTTTGTTAATTTAGCAAAAAATAAAAACCCCAGCGGTGATTAAATACCACCAAAAGAAAGCTCTAGTTGTGTGTGAAGAAAATGATAAAATTTTAGTTTGGGTACAATGTTGTATGACCGCGCAATTGCCATTCAAAGTGTGAGAGCGCTGAAACCTGAAAACTGGCCTGGGCAGGAAGGGGGAAAATTGCCCGGTATTGAAATGGTTAAAGGTCATGTGGGTGGAAAGGCAAGCATCCAATACTTGGGGCAACATGGTGTGTATGTGCGTTTTATTTATTTATTTTTGTAGAAGGTGGCCTTCTCCTGTAAAGTGTCTTTCCCGTGTAAGGTGGTCTTCTCCTCTAAGGTGGTCTTCTCCTCTAAGGTGGTCTTCTCCTCTAAGGTGGCCTTCTCCTGTAAGGTGGTCTTATCCTGTAAGGTGGCCTTCTCCTGTAAGCTGGTTTTCTCCTGTAAGGTGGTCTTCTCCTCTAAGGTGGCCTTCTCTTGTAAGGTGGTCTTCTCCTGTAAGGTGGCCTTCTCCTGTAAGGTGGTCTTATCCTGTAAGGTGGCCTTCTCCTGTAAGCTGGTTTTCTCCTGTAAGGTGGTCTTCTCCTCTAAGGTGGTCTTCTCCTCTAAGGTGGCCTTCTCTTGTAAGGTGGCCTTCTCTTGTAAGGTGGTTTTCTCCTGTAAGGTGGTTTTCTCCTGTAAGGTGGTTTTCTCCTGTAAGGTGGTTTTCTCCTGTAAGGTGGTCTTCTCCTGTAAGGTGGTCTTCTCCTGTAAGGTGGCCTTCTCCTGTAAGGTGGTTTTCTCCTGTAAGGTGGCCTTCTCCTGTAAGGTGGCCTTCTCCTGTAAGGTGGCCTTCTCCTGTAAGATGGCCTTCTCCTGTAAGGTGGTCTTATCTGGTAAGGTGGCCTTCTCCTGTAAGGTGGTCTTATCCGGTAAGGTGGCCTTCTCCGGTAAGGTGGTTTTTTCCTGTAAGGTGGCCTTATCTGGTAAGGTGGTCTTCTCCTGTAAGGTGGCCTTATCCGGTAAGGTGGCCTTATCTGGTAAGGTGGTCTTCTCCTGTAAGGTGGCCTTCTCCTGTAAGCACCCCCTGCAGTAGGAGTTTTTCTCAGCACTTCTAAAGGGATGCAGATGATGCCTTTTTGATTAGAACCCAGAGATGTTCCAGGTGATGACCCAGAGTGTCCAGCCTCCCAATCAGCCTGGATCTGAGGAAACAAATGGCCGCCTCTTCAGAGGAAGGTAAGAACCTGATGCAACGTTTATGGAAATCCTTCCAATGTATGCAGATGACTGAGGCTGGTGTCAGACGGCGCCTTCGTCACCGGCGATACACCGCAATCACCAGCAGTAGGACTGCAAAGAGGCCACCTGGTTGCACCAATAGAAGGTCTGTCTGTACTGGTGGCAGCGAGACGTCGCTCCCACCGCCAGCGATCGAGGTTCAGCCGCGTTCGTTCCAGCGACCGTGCGACGTTTCGCCGCAGAGGAGAACAGATGGGCAGCCTTGTTAGTCATCGATTTAAAAAAACCCATTGGTGGCGGTAGAGTCACCCATCTGACATTGGCTTTACCTCCCCATTCACGTTGCGTGCGGTCACCTGCGTTTTCCCGTGCGTAAAAATGACACACAGGAAACAATCGTTTTCCATGTATCGTGTTCACACAGGAAGGCGGGGCTTCGCTGCCATGCGCAGCTGTGCGATTTTTCTGCAACGTTTGCATATTATGGCAACGCACAAAACACGTGTGAATGCGCACAAGCATTCCTCTCAGCACAAGGCTCGTTCACAATAGCAGTTGAGGGGCGGTAAAACCACTCAGCCCCTCCCAAGTACTACCTCCTTTACCTGGAGCGGCCAGGGGTGTACACATGCTGCATGATGTGCTTCATGGCCGTAGCAGGAATTACACCCCCCCCCCCCCCATCGAACGTGACCGAATCAAGTGAATGGGGCTGCTCTTCCTAGCATCTCGCAACCGCCTGCATTGCGCACAATTGTGGCACGCTAGTCTGGGGATCAAGGGGTTAAAGCCGGTGGTGATGAGGAGGCAGTACGCCAACCCCTCGCTGGCCAAATGCTCTCTGAAGAGCGATTTGAATGCAGGTTGCTCTTCAGAGATTAAAGCTCGCGTGAAGGAGGGCTAAGTGAGCTGAGCTGATGGGGGTGTCAAGGACAGAACAACACGATACAAATCCCAGGGGTCCATGTTGTCTGGATGGGTGATATGTCGTGGCCAATTTTTTTGATAAATTGGAGTTGCAAACTACCTGAAAGCAGAGATCTCCTGCAGTAACTTTTCTCTGCCACTAGATGTCCTCAGCATGAGGGCCAGCATCATTCAACCCTTGTCCTCTGAGCCCAGGTTGCCTTGGACCCGCCCCCTGTATATGAATGGATAGTAAAAGGAGAAGCAGTGTTGTGATGAGCTGCCCTCTCCTCCTATCAACGGGGAAGGGGAAGAGGCAGCCTGGTGAGCTCCTCCCCTCTGTCACTCTGCACTCTCCTCCTATCATCAGTGAAGGGGAAGAGGCAGCCTGGTGAGCTCCTCCCCTCTGTCACTCTGCACTCTCCTCCTATCATCAGTGAAGGGGAAGAGGCAGCCTGGTGAGCTCCTCCCCTCTGTCACTCTGCACTCTCCTCCTATCATCAGTGAAGGGGAAGAGGCAGCCTGGTGAGCTCCTCCCCTCTGTCACTCTGCACTCTTTTCCTATCATCAGTGAAGGGAAGAGTTAGCCTGATGAAGCTCCTCCCCTCTGTCACTCTGCTCTCTCCTCCTATCATCAGTGAAGGGGAAGAGGCAGCAGCTCCTCCCCTCTGAGCTCCTTTTCCCCTCATCAGTGAAGGAGAAGCGTTCCTGATAAGCTGCTCCCCTACTCTGCTCTCTCCTCCTATCAACAGTAAAAGGAGAAGCTGCAGCCTGGTGAGCTCCTCCCCTGTGTCACTCTGCTCTCACCTCTTATCAACAGAAAGGAGAACAGGGGCGGACTGACCATTTGAAAACTCGGGCACTGCCCAAGGGCCTGGGGGTCAGTAGGGGGCCCCATGAGATGTCCCTGGTACCTTTTTCATAGGCTTTTTTGAGTTTGGGCAAGGACACAGGGGCCCCATGATCCCCTATTGCCCGGGGGCCCCATGAGTTGTCAGTTTGCCCCTGAAGGAGAAGCTGCAACCTGGTGAGCTCCTCCTCTCTGTCACTCTGCTCTCTCCTCCTATCAGCAGTGAAAGGAGAAGCTGCAGCCTGGTAAGCTCCTCCCCTCTATCACTCTGCTCTCTCCTCCTATCAACAGTGAAAGGAGAAGCTGCAAACCTGGTGAGCTCCTCTCCTCTGTCACTCCTATCAACAATGAAGGGAGAAGCAGCAGCCTGGTGAGCTCCTCCCCTCTGTCACTTTGCTCTCTCCTCCTATCATCAAAAGGAGAAGCAACCTGTGAAACTCAGTGAAACTCTGCTCTCTCCTCCTATCAACAGTGAAAGGAGAAGCTGCAACCTGGTGAGCTCCTCCCCTCTATCACTCTGCTCTCACCTCCTATCAACAGTGAAAGGAGAAGCTGCAGGCTGGTAAGCTCCTCCCCTTCCTGTCTCTTCTATCAACAGTGAAGGGAGAAGCAGCAGGCTGATGAGCTCATCTCTGGATCACTCTGCTCTCTCCTTCCTATCAGCAGTGAAGGGAAAAACAGGCATCTCTCCGCTCTCTCCTCCTATCAGCATGATGTGATCTTGTGCTGCTTCTTACATTTCCAGCCTGAGCTCTGCTGTACAGGGACTGCCAGTGGCTGATACCCGGTCACATTCAGTTTGCCTTGAATGATGAAATCTCTGCTTCTTTTCTGTCTGCTCGGAGTTTAGCTTTAACATTTTTATCCGTTTTTCTTTTTTATTTGCAAAATGGTTCTGAAAACTAATCTCCATTGATGTGGGAGTTTTTGTTGGGTACTTCCTGCCCCACGCTGAGCGCTGACAATGCTCCAGTCCTTCCCAGACCTCGCTTCGGGGTTCCCGGAACACGAGGACACTTTGATCTCGGAGAAAAGAATCTCCTCCTAGCCTTCAATAGGCAGCCGATGAACGCGGCGCATGCCCCCCCCCCCCCCCCCACTACGCCCGATTTGTGATCTCTGACAATAGAAGGTCACATGACTGAGCGCTTTGCTCCTGGCTGTGAAATATTAAGTATCATATGATGTTTCCGCCATGACACCGGCTCTCTGTTGTTCCATCTCGGCACATTCGATGGCCGGAGATGCTGAGTGTACATTTAACCGGTTTGCTTTTGTCATTTAAAATGTATATAATATGGATCTATAGAAAGAAACTGAAACGCAGAGCGGGCGAGCTGTGACCGTTCGTTCGATGTCGCCAGGCTACGTATGGTGCCGGGGGAAAAAAGAAACTGCATTTAAAGGATCGGTCCATCTGTAAGTGAAATGTGGTGTTGGGCGGACTACGGGTTGAATCGCCATTTGGCAGGAACCTGCACCCTCTATATCAGCAGTCTTGTGACTTCTATCAGTGCCCATCCGAGCACTGTGTAATCTTGGAGGAGGAGTTTTCATTCTTCTCTTACTGTCCTATGAGGCTGCATGACCCCTGACCCTCTGGACAATGCTGATTGGCCTTGTGCTGATCACATGCACTCTCCCAAGAAAAAGAAAACCTCTCTAGCAATACACACCAAACAGAGCATGTGCAGACATGTCCTTAAGGCTTGTAGGCGTTATCATTCTCCTCTTACTGTTCTATGAGGCTGCATGACACCTAACCCTCTGTCTGGGCAGTGCTGATTGGCCCTATGCTGATCACATGCACTCTCCGAAGAAAAACAAACTAGCAATACACACCAAACAGAGCGTGTGCAGACTTGTCCCTAAGGCTTGTAGGAGGAGTTTTCATTCTCTTACTGTCCTATGAGGCTGCATGACCCCTGACCCTCTGTCTGGACAGTACTGTTTGGCCTTGTGCTGATCACATGCACTCTCCAAAGAAAAATTTTTTTTTTTAGCAATACACACCAAACAGAGCATGTACAGACATGTTCCTAAGGCCTGTAGGAGGAGTTTTAATTCTCCTCTTACTGTCCTATGAGGTTGTATGACCTCAACCCTCTGTCTGGGCAGTGCTGATCACATGCACTCTCCGAAGAAAAAAAAAAAATTAGGCAATACACACCAAATGGAGCATGTACAGACATGTCCCTAAGGCCTGTAGGAGGAGATTTAATTCTCCTCTTACTGTCCTATGAGGCTTTATGAAACCTAACCCTCTGTCTGGGCAGTGCTGACCACATGCACTCTGATGAAAAAAAAAACTAGGAATACACACCAAACAAAGCATAAACCCACAGTGCTGATTGGCCCTGTGCTGATCACATGCACTCTCCGAAGGAAAAAAAAAACGTAGCAATACACACCAAACGGAGCATGTGCAGACATGTCCCAAAGGCTTGTAGGAGGACTTTTCATTCTCCTCTCCCTGTCCTATGAGGCTTTATGAAACCTAACCCTCTGTCTGGGCAGTGCTGATCACATGCACTCTGATGAAAAAAAAACTAGGAATACACACCAAACAAAGCATGTGCAGACGTGTCCCAAAGGTTTGTAGGAGGAGTTTTCATTCTCCTCTTACTGTCCTATGAGGCTGTATGACCCCTGACCCTCTGTCTGGACAGTGCTGATTGGCCCTGTGCTGATCACAAGCACTCTCCCACGAAAATAAAAAAAAAAACTCTCTAGCAATGCACACCAACCTGAGTATGTGCAGACTTTTCCCCAAGGCTCTGCTCTATCAGCAGGTGGGGACAGTAGTAGAAGGGGAGGATCAGAGAAGACAGGATCAAACAGCCTTTTTACACAATGCAGGGGGATTAACCCCTCAGGTTCCACAGGGAGTATAACCAGCATGCTTTGCTGCATCTACAGACTGATGTGGGTTTAGTAAGGAAGGCGTGTATATGGGCTCCTTCACGTTTGCACCGCCCTCTGAGGAGCGATCCGAATTTGGAACGCTTTTCAAAGGGCATTTGACAGGTGGTAAGGAAGGAGGAGTCATCCCAGGAACAGGAGCCAGTAAGATCACGTGATCACCGTGAGGGGAACCCGCCCCTGCGCTGCTTCTTTTCTGTGGGGAGAAGAAGATACATTGTATCTTTAGGGCCGGTTCACACTCCATGCGTTTTCAGCTGCTTTTTTCTGCATCCAAAACGCACAGAAAGTCGGCGATCTGGTTGTCGTTGTCATCGTTCACATCAGCGCTCGCAGTTCCAGTGCGTTCCGGTGGCAGAAAAAAAAGTAGAACAGGTGGCATTTTTCCTGCACTGCGTTCCCGTACTGAAACGCGGTAAAACGCATCAAACGCACCAAAAATACGCTGGAACACACATGTCTCTATTTAAATTGAAAAAAAGAGAGGGGGAGGAAAAATGAACTGGAATGCATAATAAAATTCACTGGACAGTGTCAAAAACGCACCGGAACGCCTCAAAAATGCGCAAGCGGAAATGCATCCGGAACGTACCTGGACTGCGTTTGTATAGTGTGAGCCGGTCCTAAGGGCCACTACACACTCCATGCGTTTCAGTGCACTTTTTTTCTGCATGCAAAATGCACAGAAAGTCAGTGATCTGGTTGTCAATGTCATAGTTCACACCAGCGCTTGCAGTTCCGGTGCGTTCCGGCTGCAGAAAAAAAATTAGAATCGGCTGCATTTTTCCTGCACAGAACTGCGCTGGAACACAGTAAAACGCACCGAAACGCTCCCAAAAACGCACAGGTGATACGGTTGTCGGTGTCATACTTTGCACCAGGGCTTGCAGTTCCGATGCGTTCCGGCTGCTGGAAAAATAGTAGAAGCGGCTGCATTTTTCCTGCACAGAACTGCGCTGGAATGCGGTAAAACGCACTGGACCGCTTAAAAAACGCACCGGAACGCTCCCAAAAACGCACAGGTGATACCGTTGTCAGTGTCATAGTTCACACCAGGGCTTGCAGTTCCGGCTGCAGGAAAAATAGTAGAACCGGCTGCATTTTTCCTGCACAGAACGTGATAAAACGCACCGGAACGCTCAAAAAAAAAAAGCACTGGAACGCACGAAAAAACACAATGGAACGCACATGTCCCTATTTAAATTGAAGAAAGGTTGAAATGAAATCAACCTCTAGTGTGAATGAGCTCTTTGTGTAAAAGGTTTTATATTTGGTGTCAGTGAGTTGAAGTAGTTAGTAGTCTTAAAAAAAAAAACAGTGCACTATTGTGTCCGGGGTTCAAACAATAAATAATGTACACATGTGGTATCCTCAAGTGAATTGGGAGCAGCAGAATTGTTTTGTGCTCTTTTTTTTTTTTTTTTTTTTTTTTTTTTAGACTGCGGGTCATGGATGGATCAGAGGTGGACTGACCATTGGAGAACTTGAGCATTGCCCGGGGGGCCGGGGTCAGTAGGGGGCCCCATGAAATGCCCCTGGTACCTTCATAGGCTTTTTTTGAGTGTGGGCAAGGACACAGGGGCCCCATGATCCCCTATTGCCCGGGGGCCCCATGAGTTGTCAGTCCGCCCCTGGGATGGATATATATATATATATATATATATAGCAGTAATATGGGTGGCGTGCACAACGGTGATCAATCACAGTGCATAGCAATCAGGCCCTCCCAAAGGCCATATATAGAAAAAAAGAAAATTGGATTGCCACACATGAAAAATTTTAAAATATATGTATTAATAAATGGTTTTAATAAGACACAGAAAATAGTGTGTGTTTATTGATTTATTATTATTTATTTTTTCAGTGTCTTATTAAAAGCATTTATTAATACATATATTTTAAAATATACTGTGTGTGTATGTGTGTATATATATATATATATATATATATATATATACATAGTATATTTTAACAATATATGTATTAATAAATGATTTTAATAAGACACTGAAAAAATAAATAATAAGAAAAATAAATAAATATACACATATATATATACAGTTGTGACCAAAATTATTCAACCCCCAATGCTGTAAAGGGGTTTAGGGACTATAGTGTACATTTGGAATTGTATTCAGAATCAAATCCTACAAGGACGTTGTAACTACCCAAAATGCAACTAAAATGACATCAATTGTTTATGTAATACAGTAGTAAATGGTTCTTATGTGGTTTCTTCATTGCCACAATTATTCAACCCCTTAAAGACTACCACTCTGAAGAACAGAGGTTCATACAGGTGCTTTCCATCAGGTATTGAAAAACACCTGTGGATGTCACCGAGCAGCAATCAAGCATAATAAGCACCAATTAGGCAGCTTTAAAATGACTGTGATACTCAGCTCCTTCTAGACATTTACTGGTGTGGTTACAAACATGGTGAAGGCAAGAGAATGGTCCAGGAAGACAAGAGAAGAGGTGATTTCTCTTCACAGGAAGGGCAATGGCTATAAGAAGATTGCAAAGATGTTAAACATACCAAGAGACACCTTAGGAAGCATCATTCGCAAATTCAAGGCAAAGGGCACTGTTGAAACGCTACCTGGTCGTGGCAGAAAGAAGATGCTGACTTCGACTGCTGTGCGCTACCTGAAGCGTACGTAGAGTGGAGAGAAGTCCCCGTGTGACTGCTGAGGAACTGAGAAAAGATTTGTCAGATGTGGGTACAGAAGTTTCAGCCCAGACAATAAGACGCACACTGCGTAATGAAGGCCTCCGTGCCAGAACTCCCAGGCGTACCCCCTTGCTGTCTCCAAAGAATAAGAAGAGTCGACTGCAGTATGCCAAAAGCCATGTGGACAAACCACAAAAAAGTTGTGGGAAAGTGTTCTGTGGACTGATGAAACAAAATTAGAACTGTTTGGGCCCATGGATCAACGCTATGTTTGGAGGAGGAAGAACAAGGCCTATGATGAAAAGAACACCTTGCCTACTGTGAAGCATGGTGGAGGGTCAATCATGCTTTGGGGCTGTTTTGCTTCTGCAGGTACAGGGAAGCTTCAGCGTGTGCAAGGTACCATGAATTCTCTTCAGTACCAGGAGATATTGGATGGAAACGTGATGCAGTCCGTCACACACCTGAGGCTTGGGAGACGTTGGACCTTTCAACAGGACAATGATCCCAAGCATACCTCCAAGTCCACTAGAGCATGGTTGCAGAGGAAAGGCTGGAACATTTTGGAGTGGCCATCGCAGTCACCAGACTTAAATCCGATTGAGAACCTCTGGTGGGACTTAAAGAAAGCAGTTGCAGTGCGCAAGCCTAAGAATGTGACTGAACTGGAGGCCTTTGCCCATGAAGAATGGGCGAAGATACCCGTAGATCGCTGCAAGACACTTGTGTCAAGCTATGCTTCACGTTTAAAAGCTGTTATAACTGTAAAAGGATGCTGTACTAAGTACTAAGATTGAATGTCACTTGGGGGTTGAATAAAACTGATAATGCTGTGAGCACAGAAAAGACATTTGTGGTTATTTCATTATAACTGTTATGTTATATTTGTCTGACCTACAAGTGCCTCTTTAATGTAAATGTAAGCAAGATGACTGAATGATCAAAAGCAATGTCAAACTGGCCAAAACACTCAATTTCAGTGGGGGTTGAATAATTTTGGTCACAACTGTATATATATATTTATATACATGTGTGTGTACATATATTTACTTATTTGTTTTATTATTTATTTTTTCAGTGTCTTATTAAAAGCATTTATTAATACATATATTGTTAAAATATACTATGTGTGTGTATATGTGTGTGTGTGTATATGTGTATGTGTATATATATATATATACAGTATATTTTAACAAATATACGTATTAATAAATGCTTTTAATAAGACACTGAAAATAATATAAATATATATATATATATTTTATTATTTTCAGTGTCTTATTAAAAGCATTTATTAATACGTATATTGTTAAAATATACTGTGTGTATATATGTATATATATGTGTATATGTATATATATGTGTATATATATATATATATATATATATATATATATATTTATTATTATATATATATTTTATTTATTTTATTTTTTTCAGTGTCTTATTGAAACCATTTATTAATACATATATTGTTAAAATATACTGTGTGTGTTATATGTGTTTATATATTATGTGTATATATATATATATGTATATATATATATAAAATGTTTTTTTGGTCTCTTTAGGAAATAGAAAAGTTAATCATTTAATATACTGTATAATAAATATATAATATGTTAAAATATATACTGTATATAATATCAGTTTTTTTAAGGAAATACAGAAGTTAAAAACCATTTAGTAATTTATATTTTTTTTTATTATATTATTAAAATATACTGTGTGTGTATATATATATATATATATATATATATATTTATTAATGTATTTTCAGTTTCGTAGCGAAATAGTAAAGTCAAAATCAGTTAACGTATGTATTAAATATATATTGTTATTATTTTTTATTTATTATTATTAATATACTATGTGTGTGTGTGTGTGTGTGTGTATATTTTATATATATATATATATATATATATATATATAATATTTTTATATATATGTATATATATATATATATAAATAAACAATTTATTTTCAGTTACTTAGGGAAATACAAGAGTTGACATCCTTTAATCATTTATATTTAACATTCTAAGAAAATATACTGTATATAATAGAAAATGTATATTATAAACATAATGTATTTTCCGTTTCTTAGTGAAATAGAAAAGTCAAAAATCATTTAATAATAAATATTAAATGTATATGATTAAAATATATACTGTATATAATATATATAAAAGTAACTTAAGTAATTTTCAATTTCTTAGGTAAATACAAAAGGTAAAATAATTTAATAATATATATATAAAATAATAAATATTATAGTATTAAAATATACTGTATATAATAACATAATTTATTTTAAATTTTTTGGGGAAATACAAAAGTTAAAATATATTTAAAAAAAAAAAAAAATTGTTAAAAAAACTTTAAAATAGAATGAACCCAACCAATTTAATTTCACTTTAGGAAAACAGTTTGTTGATGGTGGGAGGATGATGACGGATATGTTATCTCCCGCCCCCACCCCCAGGATTTGATGGTGACTTTATTTTGAATGATCCAGCTCTTCTACAGAGTGCAGCTGTCCCACATTTCTGGAATGGGGAATGATTACTAACTGCTGAAAGAAGGACTTTCTCATCCAAGATGCCGGGCGGTCATGGTGTCAGGCCGCTCTCAGCTGCTGATACTGGATACCGGTCACCTTCCAACTCCGGCTTCTCATCAGTGCAGGCCGGGTGAATGCAAATATGTACAGAGACATGTCCTCTAAATGTCTCATTCACTTATAAAGTATATGATTCAAAATTAAGTCACCATCAAATCCTGGGGGTGGGGGCGGGGATAACATATCCGTCATCATCCTCCCGCCGTCAACAAACTGTTTTCCTAAAGTGAAACTAAATTGGTTGGGTTCATTTTATTTTATTTTTATTTATTTTTTTAATGGATTTTAACTCTTGTATCTCCCCAAAAAAATTAAATAAATTATTATATACAGTATATTTTAATATATTTAATATATATTAAATGATTTTCACTTTTGTATTTCCCTGAGAAACTGAAATAAATGATATTATATATATTATATATTTAATATGTATTAAATGGTTTTTAACTTTTCTATTCCCCAAAGAAACTGAAAACAAATTATGGTATTAAATGTATTATATACAATATATTTTAATATTACTTAATATATACTAATAAATTATTTTCACTTTTGTATTTCCCTAAGAAACTGAAATAAATGTGTATATATATATATATATATATATATATATATATATTATATTTTTAAGAATATATGATATATTTAATATGTATTATTAAATGGTTTTACATTTTCTGTTATGGTATTAATTATATTATATACAATATATTTTTAATATATTGTATTATATTATTTAATATATATTATTAAATGATTTTCACTTTTGTATTTCCCTATGAAACTGAAATAAATGATATTATATATTTAATATGTATTAAATGGTTTTAACTTTTCTATTTCCCTAAGAAATTGCAAACAAATTATGCTATTAAATGTATTATGTACAATATATTTTTTAATATTACTTAATATATACTATTAAATTATTTTCACTTTTGTATTTCCCTAAGAAACTGAAATAAATGATAATATAGTATATTTTAAAAATATATTATATATTTTTAATATGTATTATCAAATGGTTTTAACTTTTCTGTTTCCCTAAGAAATTGAAAATAAATTATGGTATTAAATATATTGTATTATATTATTTAATATATATTATTAAATGATTTTCACTTTTGTATTTCTCTAAGAAACTGCTATGCACGGTAGCCAATCAGCTTCTCACTTCAGTTCGTTCCATGAAGCTTTGACAATAAAAGCTGGAAGCTGATTAGTTCCTATGCAGAGCTGCACCAGATTTTGCACTTTCTTGCTTTAAGTAAATGGACCCCAATAGCAATGTGCCCCCCAATAAAGTTCATAATT